AGAAGTTCACTCATGCCATCGGTACTTACCGATGGTTTACTGATGATTGCCAGCAGTTATTCGGCGCTAATTCAGCAGTTTAGCCACCGATAATTCCTGTAGTTTTGATAGCTGGTAAGCCGCCGGTGATTAACGATAATTTACCGATGGTTGTCGGCTTTCAAATGATGATTATCTGGTGATTTGGTCGCTGAAAACACAGGCAGTTTTGACATCCGGTACGCCACCGGTGATCACTGGCATTACGATCGCCAGTAATTACTGGCAGTCTCGGCCACTAGAAAGCCGCCAGTTAGTAAAACCACTGGAGAGAGGTCGCTAGAAATCTTTTCCTACGCATTTTTTTCGGCAGTTTTTTAACCGTCGAAAAGTCGCCGATTTTTTATAAAACCGTCGAAACTCTATCATTAACCGTCAGAAAAGACTGCCGGTAATATTTGAATTTCATGTAATGCTAGACATCATCCATAAGAACTTATTTATTTTTATTTGCAGACCTCTATAATCACCTCTAAAAATGATTATGAATATTATGTCATATTTCTTTATATTTTACTCACTTAATTTAAAGCCTTATGTTGAGCAACATGTTGATTAAAAAACCATTAAATAAGATTACGATGCTTCCAATCATGATACCCTCATTCCTCTACTATGGTTTCTCCCTAGCTGCCCCTTTCGTACTCGTGTTCCTTCGTTCTTTGGAGTTTCTCCCATCGTGAGATCTTGTTGGCTAGATTAGGGGAGTATCTTTTTGACTTTGGTCTTTTTTTTTCTTTTGTCAGCCTTTGGTTGACTAGGGTTTTTGTTGCTTCAATATTTCTATTTTTTTTCGAGCTTTTCCTGCATCTTTGTGGATTTCTCTTGGCTTAATGGCTAGTAAGCTCTTTGATCCCAACTTTTTCATTGGTAAAGTAAAAAAAGTCATTCTTTAAAGACGCCCTATACAAATCTACTACTACTACTTTCTTTCATGATCTCAAGGCAACTGCCCATTACAGTTTGAAGGCCTTGTGGATCTTTAGGAAGATATTAAAGCTTTAGCGGCTCATTTTGAGCTTTCTCTGGTTGATAAATTCATGACCCATTGCCCCAAACTAGTCCTCATTTAAAAATTGTTTATTTAAGCTAAAACTTACTGGTCATTTTTTTATTACCTTGATCGATCCACAACACATGCATGTCAAACTTTCTAACAATTTGGACTATAGCAAGCTTTTTTACTACATATTTGACAATGTTAATAATTTATATATATAACATATAAGATGGTCTTCTATGTTTGATATCGTTGAGGAATCATCCATTGGGCATGTTTGGATTTATTTTCCTGACCTAAGACCTCATTTATTCTCCCCAAGAATTTTTCATGGGCTTAGACCTTTTTTTTGTAGACCTTTTTTTTGTAGACCTTTACAAACTGATAATATTATAGCTCATGGTACTAGGCCTTCGATTGTCAGGGTTTTAATGGAGCTGTATATCTCTAAATAATACCCTAACACTATCTAGATTTGCCCAAAGTAATTTGGTTACATTCAAAAAGTGGTTTTGTTGGATTTCCCCTCATTTTGTGACCATTGTAAAACCCTTGGCCACCTGAAAACTGAGTGCTTTATTCTTCATCTCCACCAAAGGAAGAACCAAGCTATTAAACCTATGAATCTTATGTATCAAAACAAAACTAACATAACCAATACCTCTCCCTCTGATATTGTTAATGGAATTGATAATCATCCTCTTTCAGAAACCAAAGTCCCTATAAACCCTAATGAAATTGCTAATGTTTCTTCTTCTGATCCAATGATTGACTCTCCTAGTATGGCTAAAAACTTGAATCTTGATTGTAATATAAATCCCAATACCTCTCTTATCTAGGATAATTTAAATGAGTACATCATGGATGTGCTAGAATATTCCCCAGGAAGTTGAATGTTTCTAATTTACAACCTATTATATCTATCTCTACTTCCCCGATTTTTGATAATGAGTTGTCCAACAAAGTGACTGATTTGGCTCAATTGAATGTTATCACTCATGTGGAACATAATGTTAATGATAGTTTGTGCCTATCTAATCAATCTGACTCCAAATGGGAGGAAGGTGAAATCTAATCAACTGATGATTATTATATTGATACCAATTATCATAATGAGGTTGTTCTAAATGTTTTGCATGACTCCAAGGATGCTTTCTCTATGGTTACTAATAAATATAATGAAATGAATAAGAAGAAAAAACTCAATATTATCCAATCAATCTCTATCAATTTTGATCAATATTATTCAATTAAACATCAATATTAATTTCTCTATGGTAGAATTTGATTGACTTTAAAAATTATCTATAGTTATCCTTAGTTTGCTGCGGGAGATTTCAACATTATCTCTATTGCTTCTAAAAATAGGAGGTTTACCTCCATATATTTATCCTATGGATGATTTTAATAGCATGTTCGTTGATTTTGGTTTAACTGGCATAGGCTTCTCTAGTTCTAATTATACCTGGTCTAATCACTCCATTTTAGAAAGGCTTAATAGAATCTTGTTTAATAATGATTGACTTTCTTCTTTTCATATTACCTCTGTGGATCATTTAAGCAAAATTGTTTTTGATCATGCTCCCCTATTAGTTAAAATTCAATTATTAAAGTAGTGATTTTTATCCTTTTCTCTTTCAGCATATGTGGCTTCAAGCTCCTAATTTTTTCAATGTTGTTAAGGATAATTGGCTGGCCATTATCAGTAATACTTTTTCCTTTGAAAAAACCTACTTGCCCAAGAACTTACTCATGATATCAACAAAAAGATGTATGGGCATAATTTAATCTTTAAATTGGATATCTCTAAAGTGTATGATAAGACTAATAAGAAATTTATCCTTAATATGCTTGATCTATTTGTCATTGATGAAAATTTTATTAATCTAATTAAGAACATTATTAAGAATGTATGGTCTTCTATAATTGTCAAAGGTAAATAAAAATATTTTTTATGTAGCCCATGGGATTATTCAAGGGGATCATTATCTCTTGACATATACATCATTGATGTCGAATATTTTTCCAAAGGTTAAATTCATTTTTATACTTGTTATAAAAGAATTACATATAGGATTTCTAGTGGCTTGAACATTTCTCACATTTGTTTTGCTAATGACATCATTTTATTTTGTAATGGGTCCTTGAGTAGTTTTAAGAAAATTTTATAGTTTATTAAGTCTCTTTGAAAAAGATAATGGGATGAATTTTCAATAGATCAAAAGTACATTTATTGCTAATAAAGGCATGTTTGTGCTTTACTGTAACAATATTAATAGGATTATCAGTATTAGTATCCAATCCCTTCCTATCTATTATTTGGGAACTCCTCTTCACAAAGGGCCCAAAAATATATCCTATTTGAGAAGATATTTTCTTGCATTTCTAATAAGCTTTCTGCATGGTAATATAAGATTCTCTTTGTTCCATGCCTATTTACTTCAAATTATTAACCCTACTATGGAAATTTGTAATAGACCAAATAAAATGATTAACAAATAATTTTTTTGCGGTTCTTCCTCAAATAGAAAAAAAAATTTCCATTGGTATAATTGGGTTTCTTGTACTTATTCTTTTAAGGAAGGGGCGATGGGGTACATACCTATGGCTCATATGATTAAAGGTTTCTCATACAAACTTTGGTGAAATTTTAGAACTAATGATTCCCTTAGGCCAAGTTCATGAACTTTAAATATTGTAAGAACATGCAACTTATTTTATGTTCTTTGAAAAAAGGTCAATCTACAATTTGGAACATGGTGTGTTTGATTAAATGGTTTGTTAAAACTACCCTCCATTGGGGACTAAGAAAAGGTTCAACCCATTTATGGAAGGATGACTAAATTGGAACTGGGTCTCTTATCTCATTTTTCAATACTCATTATATGTCCTCTTTGATGGCCTCTGATTTTATTTTGAATGGAAAGTGTTGTAACAATTTGCTATTGATTATCTACCTCATAATGTTATTGATATTATTGTTAAAATTATTATAGAACCCTCTCATAATTATATTATTATCTTCAAGTTGTCTCAGGATGGTGATTTTAATTTTAAGAAGATATAGAACAATTTTAGAATTAAAAAGGATACTAATATTATTTTTTATGAAATTCAGAATCATTCCACCCCCACTTCTACTTCTATTATTTCATGGATAATTTTAAAAGGAGCCATTCTGTTGATAGTAGGTTATAGAATAAAGGTATTTACTTGGAAACTAGATGTCAATGTTATTTGCAAATAAAAAATTTAAATCATGTCTTTTTGAATGGTTCCATTGCTAATAAAGTATGGTTGGACTTGGAGAATGGTTTAGGGTTTAATGTGTTTTTGGTAATTTCTTTTCTTTTTTAACAACTTGGTTTTATAACAAAACCAAAGGGCATTGCTTATTTTTTTATTCATGTGGATGGAAATAAATAATTAAAAATAAGACAATATTAAGATGAGCCATGTGAGGGTTATTAGTTGTCTCAAAGTTAAAGTGCAACAACTTTCACTACTACGGTTTCAAAAGCTCATCACTTTAAGGGGAAGAATAGATCGTATTCTTATTTTAACATTAATTACCCTAATTATGATAGTAGAAAAGGCCCTTTTATTATTAGATGGATTAAATCTCAAACTCATGAATATAAACTGAACATTGATGGTGATGTTAACAAGATTGGTATGGGTTATAGTGGGCAAACCAAGGACCATCTTGGTCATTTCATCCTTGTTTAACACGAATGATCTGGATCATACTATATAATTTGTTACAATCAAAAAACCCAACCCACCGAATAAATTAAGTAAGATATTTAAAATTCAATTTTTGAACTAATCATATTGTACAATCTGATTCATATTATATGATATGATTCATACTGTACAAAAATCTGAAATATTACTTAAAGTAAAAGGGGAGGTTTGTGATAATTTTTAAATCTTTTCTACTAGGAAATCCATTATCCTTATGCATGAAGATAATAATTCGGTCATTATGGTCGGGCTCTATTATGGATTTCTGACCACTTTCACCATTGGGCCCTCTTATCTCTTCCTTCTCCGAGCTCAGTTATGGAAGAAAGAACCAAGAAGGAGGTATCAGCAACAACTGATTTTATTATGGGACAACTCATGATGTTCATATCATTCTATTAGGTGCATATGCATCTAGCATTGGGTAGACCTCATACAATAACTGTCCTAGTTCTACCGTATCTTTTGTTTCATTTCTTCAATCATAAAAACTTTTTTGATTATGGATCTACTACCAGAAATTCAATGCGTAATCTCAGCATTCAATGTGTATTCCTGAATAATCTTTTTTTTTTCAATTATTAAACCATTTCATTTTACCAAGTTCCACGTTAGCCAGATTAGTCAACATTTCTATGTTTCGATGCAACAACAAGATTTTATTTTTAACAAGTAGTTTTGTTGGTTGGTTAATTGGTCACATTTTATTCATGAAATGGGTTGGATTGGTATTATTCTGGATACGGCAAAATCATTCTATTCGATCTAATAAGTATCTTAGTCAACATTTATATGTTTCGATGCAACAACAAGATTTTCTTTTTCTTTTAACAAGTAGTTTTGTTGGTTGGTTAATTGGTCACATTTTATTCATGAAATGGGTTGGATTGGTATTATTCTGGATACGGCAAAATCATTCTATTCGATCTAATAAGTATCTTGTGTCAGAATTGAGAAATTCTATGGCTCGAATCTTTAGTATTCTCTTATTTATCACCTGTGTCTACTATTTAGGCAAAATTTCTTTTCCTATTATCACTAAGAAACTGAAAGAGAAAGAAACTTTAGAAATGGAAGAAGGGGGACAAAGAAAGGAATAAAGCGATGTAGAAACAACTTCCAAAATGAAGGAGACTAAACATGAACAAGAGGGATCCACCGAAGAAAACCCTTCCCTTTTTTCGGAAGAAAGGGTGTGGATCTTGACAAAATAGATGAAACAGAAGAGATCCAAGTGAATGGAAAGGAAAAAAAAAACAAAGGATGGATTTAACTTTAAAGAGGCATACTATTAAGATCAAGATAGCCCAGTTTACGAAGATTCTGATCTGGAGACCCATCAAGAGAATTGGGAATTGGGAAGACTGAAAGAAGAGAAAAAGAAAAGAATGAATATGTAGGTTGAAAAAAATTTTGTCACTTTTCTTTTCAATTTTAAGCGATGGGATCTTCCATTACGATATATAAAAAATAAGAAATTAGAAAATACTTTACGCAATGAAATGTTACAAATTTTTTTACATGTACAAGTGATGGAAAATAAATAATATCCTTTACATATCCGCCCAATTTATCAAATTTTTTGAAAATGCTATAACAAATAATTGCTTTATACATAATAGAAAAACTATACGACGAAGATCTTTATAATTCTTGGATTTATACTAATGAAAAAAAAATTACAATTTGAACAATGATTTGAAAAGACGAATCCAAATTCTAGAAAAAAATGAGGGATCCTCTAGTCTGGATATGCTTGAAAAAAAAACCATATTATGTGATGATGAAAAAAAAAAAGCTTGCCAAAAGAATATGATCCTTTTTTCAACAAACCATATCGAGGAACGAGAAAAGAATTAGATTCATGTGTAATCATGAATACTTATACAGATACAGAAGATTTAGTAGAATTTTTTTTTCTAAATAAGATTCATGATCTACTTATTAATGATTCCGTAGAACTCCAACGTCAATCATTTTTGAATTCTAAAGAAGAAAAAGGAATTGATTCAGAAAGTCAAGCAAAATATTTGCAATTTGTATTTGATGTAATTACAACACATACAAAAGATCAAAAAACAATGAAAAAAAATCTATTTGAATTAGAATAAGAAGTTAGTAAAAAGTTTTCTCGATGGTCATACAAATTATCCGAGAATTCAGAAGAAGATGAAGAATAAAATGGAGAAGAATTGGAGAAAGATGGTCATGAGATTCGTTCAAGAAGAGCCAAACTTGTGATAATTTATAACGATAATGATCAGAATACGAATTTTATTTCTATTTCTAGTATTCAAAATACTAATAACAATGATAAAAAATGATGATCCAATGGAAGAGGGAGAGTTGACTTTGATATGTGACTCATAACAATCAATTTTTTCATCGCAATCTAATCAAAGGATCCATGCATGCTGAAAGGCGTAAAACAGCTATTTGGGACCTCTTTCAAGTTAATGTACATTCCCGACTTTTTTTGGATCGTTTAGTCAAAATATTTTTTTTTTTTGTCTTTTGATATCAACGAAATGAAAAATCTAATTTTTAGGAATTAGATAGGCATAGAACAAGAATCAGAATTAAAAATTTCCTATTTTGAAAATGACGATAAAAAGAAGAAAAGAATGTAGAGTAATAAATATATAAAAATGAATAGATAGAAATATCATAATCTTTACTCAAGTAATAAGAAGTTTGATGTTAATAACCCAATCTTTTCTTAGAAAATACATTCTATTGTCTTCACTAATAATAGCCAAAAACCTTATCCGTGTGTTATTATTCCAAATTCCTGAGTGGGATGAGGATTTTAAGGAATGGGATAGAGAAATCCATATTAAATGCGCCTATAATGGAGTTCAATTATTAGAAACAAAATTTCCCCAATATTGGTTAAAAGATGGTATTCATATAAATATTCTATATCCTTTATATCTAAAATCTTAGAGAAAATTTAAGGCACAATCTCATTATAGAGATCTAATGAAAACATAAATAGAAAAAATAACAATTTTATTTATTTTTAATAGTCTGGCGAATGGAAGCGGATCTTCCCTTTGGTTCTCCCCGAAAATGACCTTTTTTTAAACCTATTTATAAAGAACTCCAAAAATGAAAAAAAAGGTGAAAATTGAATTTTCAAATGTTTTAAAATCTTTAAATAAAGTAATAAAAAAATAAAATCCTTTCTAAAATTAGAAAATAAAAAATAAAAGGGGTCGTTCAACATATCAAACTAATAATGAAAAAACTGAAGAAAGTAAATCCAATTTTCTTATTTGAATTAAGGAAAGAAAAAGTATATGAACCGAACAAAAACAAAAAAGATTTTAAAAGAAATAATAAGATTCTTCGTGAATCATCTGTTCTTAATCGAATGATGAATTGGTTAAATTATTCACAAATAGAAAAAAGAATGAAATATCTTTTTGAGAATACAATCAAAATCAAGAATCAAATTGAACAAACTGCAAAAGATAAGAAAAAAAGAAGAAATAGTTCTAATTTATGATAATAAAGGATTGGGATCACATAAACATATTTTGAAAATATTTAAAAGAAAAAATATCTGATTAAAGCATAAATCACACTACTTTATCAAATCATTCATTGAAAAAAATATACATAGATATTTTGCTATGTACCAATACCATTTCTAAGATAAATGCACAACTTTTCTTTAAATCAACAAAAAAGATCTTTACTAAATCCATTTACAACAATGAAATAAATCAAGAACAAGAAGGAATTGATGAAACAAATCAAAATACAATGAATTTTCTTTTGACTATAAAAAAATTAAAATCATTTTCAAATAATGATAATACTACGAGAATAGCAATCAAAATTTCAATACTTATTGGAACTTATCTTTCCTGACCCAAGCATATATATTTTTACAAAATATCATAAAACAAATTACTTAATAAGTATCAATTGAGACTTGCATTTGAATATCAAGGGAGCTATCCTTTTTTTTAAAGATAATTTAAAAGACTATTGTATGATACAAGGAATATTTAACTCACATAATAAAATTCATACATATGTAATGAAAGAATGGAAAAATTTGTCATTATCAATATGATTTATCTCAAAAAAAGGTCTCCATTAGTACCTAAATAATGGCGAAATAGAATCAATAAACATCGTATGATTCAAACCAATGAATCGAACCAATTGGATTCATATCAAAAACACCAATTTATTTATTCCATGAAAAAAATAACTATGCAACAAATTCATTTATGAGTCAAAAAGACAAATGGATAAAACATTACATATGTGATCTTTTCTCATATTAATACATAAACCTTCCTAATTTATACATTTCTGTATCAACATTAGAAATAAATAGGGACCAAGAAATTCCATCTCATTTCAATATATCAAAACCTGAATCATTTTATGTATTGGTAAGTATATCTAGTAATGACTATCTAGAAAAAGGATATCTTATTGATAGGAATACAAATTTTGATAGAAAATATCTTGATTGTAGAATTCTTCGTCTTTGTTTTATAAATAATATTGAGATCTAGACCAATGTACATATTGGTGTCAATATTCAGAAAGATACTAAGACTAAAATTAAGAACTTAAAAAAATTAGAAAAAATATCTTTTTTACCACAATTCATTAAGAGATCAAACCATGCAATCAAAAAGTTTCTTTTTTCTTTTTGATTGCATGGGAATGAATAAAGAAAGGTCCTATGATACCACATCAAATCATGATACTATATCCAATCTAGAAACCTTGTTCTGCCCAAATTTGTGCTACTTTTTTATGTATATAAAATTAAACCTTGGATCATCCCATTCAAAACAATCTTTTTTAATTTTCTATAAATGAAAAAAGTAAAAGCATTAACATAAATCCAAAGAAATTATCTAATAAAAAAAAAGATCGTGAATTAGGAAATTCCAAGAAATAAGAGAATGAACAACATGTCCAAGGATTTCTTGTATATGTTGGATGACTACGGCACCCCAAGAGGAGGATGAATTGGGGTTTTAAAAATATTTTAATAAAAGAAAGAAATTAAAATGATTATAAAGTTATTTTGAAAAGAATAAAAAATCACACAATTTTTATGAAAAAGACAAAAAATAGATGCAAGAAATGAAAATAAGATGCACAATATTTTTATGTGGTTCAGCCCGAATTCCAATCCGACCTACATCCACGCTAGCCAACTCTCATGCTAGAAATTCCTAATCCCATGTTTGCCTTGCAAATCTCACTTCTTTAATCAAAAGAAGTTCTTTAAAACCTAAGTACTCAACTACTCGGGCGAGTACAACCCAATCTAATTATAATTCAAACTTCATTAAGCCAAATGACTTTGATTAATTAGAAAATTAAAAATACAATTTAATGTAAATAATACAAGCTCAAATAATCTTGTAATAAAATATCCATAATATTTGAGGTGATCTTACAAATTAATTTTAATCACCTCACTACTTGCAAATGGAATATTAAATTTGCTCACCTTAAGATAGATTTATATTTTGATAAAAATATGAATAATATTTAAACAAAATATTTTCTTGCTAATTTAAACTTTAACTCTTCAAATCAAAGAAAATGAATTAGATTTTAAATGTAAATCTATGCCACCTTAAAGAAAATAAAAATACTTACTTTACTAACTTTATGGATTTAAAATATGTAAAATATAAAGCTTAATATAACATTACCAACTATTATTTCAACAAATAATAAAAATTTTTAAGAATGAAATATATGGTGAAAACTAAAACAACAGTAAGTAAAGATTTAGAGAGAAAATAAACTCAAGAACTCTAAGAGATGTTATTCGATTTTGTGTGTTGAAGCTTTCCAATCAAGAATTTGATCTCTCAAATGAAAAGAGCTCTTGGAATAAAAATCAAAGTTTCTCCTCTCAAGATTTAGCATGAAAAGAAGAAAGGAATAATGGAAGAATTGTTGGAGATTTTCTTTTGAGCAGCCCTTACATGAAGAAAAAGAGAGGTATTTAAAGAGAAAGGGTAAGTAAAGCTAAATTTGAATAAAACTAATAATCTAATATTAATTTATCAACTAATAATGTTTTATTTGATCAAGAATTCATTTATATTAAATATATATATGAGATTCAAACAACTATAAAATAGCTAGCCACATAGGAAAGTCAAAAAATCTTCATAAACATTCAAAATAGGGCAAAAATGGCTATCAATAAATTATATTTAAATCATATAATGCTTCAAAATTCATTATAAATTCAAATGAGCCATATAACCTATCACTTTCTATCTATAGAATCAAAAGAATCAAATACAATAAAAATTTTACCAAGTTTCTGTCAAAATAATATCATATACAATAAAATTTAAACTCATACACATTTTTAAATATTTAAGGATTTATCGTATATTAATATAATATTATGATGTAATTTATTTAAATTTAATTATACATTAATAAATTGATATGAAATAAGTTAATTTAAAATGAATAAATAATAAAAGTTTTACCATATAAGTTTATTATCTT